AGACCTTTCCAGATCCCATGTAAATCTAAGGCTGGCAGAAAATACCATTCAGTAATCTTCAGGGAGGACTAAGCAAGGAAAATTAATACTCTGACTGTTTAATCTTGAAAAACAAATTCAGAGTTTAAATATAAAGAGCAATCTAACCCTCATTCAACAGCATTTTTGGGGCTGGTATGTGATAACCTAAGAATTAATGGTATGAGACAACTGAGCTTATCAGGGAATGTGCTAAGAGCTATGGATTTTGGTGCAAGATAGAGAATACAAAATAGAGAATATAAAATCAACCTCCCAGGAAAATTTGGATCCCTCAACAACCTGCTGCTTCAGGGAAATATCTCTCTGACATCACCTGCTGTAGCTGCTGGCATAAGGCAGATTTCTAGCTCATATACATGAACATGTCTGATGGTATTGAACATTAAAAGAATCAGGCTATTGGTAAATTTTAAATATTAGTAGGAAAAAGTGGAACAAGCAGTCACAAGGAAAAAGTGTTCTAAAAAAATTCAAAGACCCAAACCAGTGAGGAAAAAAACAGTCTAAGTGGCAACAACAGTACTTGGAAGGATTACACATAAAGCTGCTGAATCAAAAATCAGGAGAAGGATCATTTAAAAGTAAGGTGGGGGGGATAAAAGAGAGGATGGAACAGGTAGAAAATAGGCTACACCAAGGCTCTACTGCCAGGAACAACTAAGAGCAGCTGACACAAACAACAGCCTCCAAAATAAGGAGGGCTGAGAGCTGCAGGCAATCCCTGAAACAAAAAGGTGCAAAAATAAAGTACAAAGGAAAGTGGGGCTTCAATCCACAAGATGGCAAGGAACCTGTGATGTCTTAAAATAAGGCTCTCAAACTTAAAATCAGGGAAAGGAAAAAAAAGTGTAAAAGGTTTGCATCTGTACACACGGTATTCTGTGCTTTGCATTGCTACTGGCTTAAAAAAATAAACAACAGAACAAGCTCATTTTCTCAACTCTCTCTGCTTAGTACAATTGAAGCTTTGTTACTACAGTGCAAACAGTAATTGTAATCCAAGATTAATTAGCCAAATTATTAGAAACTGAATTCCACAAGAAATATACCACACTAACTTTTAAATATTTCTCCCTTCTGTGAAATTCACCAACTTCAACATCCAGATAACACACCAAACCATTTGGCTCAGAAAAATTGACAAGTTGGATGATAAGACAAAGTCCACATTGGCTATCATATGCCAAAACGACTTCCATCATGAAAGAAATGTGATCATTGTTATATTTTTACTGGAATTAATTTTCCTGCATTGATGAAAGCTGTACAGTGTTCTCTGATGAAGAATCCATATGGACTGCAATTAAAGCACACTGCAAAGGACATTTGTGAGCTGTAACAGGTACTGCTGATAACTACACACATGAGTTGCACCTGAAACTACCAAAACTGGAAAAAATTAGAGAACTGATTCTTAAGTTTCATATTATTAATATTATATTATTAAAATATGCCTGTAGTTCAAGCAAAGACCTACAATTACTACAAAGATAAAAGAAAAGATGCAGGAAAAAATCTAAAAAAGAAATACTAAAATAATGTAATTTAGGGATGATCAATTTATTCAAGGTGCATACTTGTGGTAATGGAAGTGTAAGAGTGGGCTGAAAGTGCTCTTCCCCACTGTCCTCAATTATAGGTTATAAAGTATTATGCCACTAGCATAACATAACAGGCATTATTCTATAAATTCATTTATTATACTAAATGTCTGTAAATATATCTAACTAACACTGAAGTTGCATTCAAAGTCTTACAATCACTTTGGGCACCTTTGATAATTGGTCCAATTACAGCAATATTTTTTAAAGAGAAAGGAATCCAGACATCCACTCAGCACATACCTTTCATTCTCTACATAACTGTCAGAATCAAAGTTTCCCACAACTAACTCATATGAAACACTGAGAACTGGTATCATTTTCCTTGGGTTAAAAATATCCAAAATCAACAACTACAAACATGCTGAATCACAGAAAAACACCAAGAAGTAGTCTGATACAGTATCACAAACAGTTCCAATAAGTTGAAATGTCTGTGGTGCTTTTGAATCTTGAACATAGGAGGAGGATCAGTTGGTCAGAAACTGTGTGCAGGTCCCCAGTCTCAAAATGCAAGGAGCTCATCTCTATGATGGTTGCTCTGAGAATGTTTTCAGACAAAGATTTCTGTTCTATGCTGTGGTACTGCAGATTTTGACAAATCTGCTGAGTATGAAGACATCAATAACTTTGTTCGTACTGGTTTGCTTCTGATCTCATCTAACAATCTCCTTCCTGTGTACAGAGGTAGCCCTAAAGAAGCAATCATTCCACACAAATGCATCAAGTATCAAAAAATCACAGAACATTTCCCAAAAGATTTAAATCTAAAATACAAAATGCTCAATGCACATATCAATACTGCAATCACTTATCAAAATATTTTGTTGTGAAAATACAGTATGAGATCTCGGTTTTGATTCAATTACTGCAAGTAATGAGGGACCAATTGAAAAGTACAGAATACCACTATATAAAATACGATGTTAGAGGAGAAGGAGAGGAAAGCAAACAACTGAAAAAAGTCAGCTTGCCCAGCTACATAAAAGACCGGGCAAACCCTGATAACAACAACAAAATCCTGTAAGGATACATGATTGCCTGCAGTTTGGTGAAGTTTAAGGACTTGGGAGTGTAATTTCTAAAATTTACTTTGTTGCCAATTTCATTTCCTTTTTGAAGGGCAAAATGTTTACTATGTCCTGGTTCAACAAATGTAGGCTTTACTGAACTTACACCTATGCATTAATTTCTCTTCGGGAACAGCATTAGAATGCTCCAGGTTTTGCAGATTCATATATTTACCAAGCTGAACACAGTCCTTGAGAAACAAGCACACAAAGTATGGAAAAAGGCACAAAATATTAATATGGTTAGATTTAATTTTGTTACTGAAATTGAGTGTGGTCCAATTATATACAGAAAATATCCTGAGTACTCATTCTTCAATAAAAAAGGAGGAAAAAAGGATACAAAAAGAGAGGCACTCCTTACACACCCCACCAAATGACATGTCCAGGTAGTTCTTCCTCAGCTCCTTTCAGTGAGCTGTTATCTATTTACTGCCTCTTGACAAAATACATAAAACCTTCACCTGATGTAAAGAACTCCACTTTGGGCATGTTTGGTTACTCTTCACATTACTGGATTAAAGAGTAAAAGAAAAATTGCTCAATATGCCATATATCACAGCAACTAGCTCAAGAAATAAAGATGACTAAGTACATAACCAAGACTTCAGACACCGATTTCCTTTAAGTGAGCAGTGGACTTTTTAAAAAATCTTTTCACTAAGTATTTAACTTAAAATTATTATAAAAAAGGACAAGAAAGAGATTCCAAAGATAAAACTCTAATGTGTTTTATATTACATATTTGAAATAAATACATAATTTAGCCCATAGTCAATAAAATATCCGCTTATTTTTGAGAAGAAATTATTGCAGAAAAATAATTTTACAATTACTAAGTCAACAGCTTGATGAATCATTTGCTTTATGATTGTGTATTTATTTTTTCACATTTACAGCTCTTTCAAGAATATTTTGATTTTGCTACTTATACATCATCAAAAAAATATTAAAGAAAACTAATACAAAAAGTTTCTTACTATCAGTCTTTAAACACCTAAGTGTTCAAGGTTACACTGATCTGTTAGAAAGGCCAGGCTTACAAATTTTTGCCAGAATATTTAAAGACATATGTCAGATAATTTGAAAATACTGTGCAAAATCCCACTACCTCAGTATTACTTCAGAACTTCTTTTCCAGTTTAAAGGAAAATCAATCATTTGCAAAACCATATAGAGACATGTGGCAGCCACAGAGACATTATAGTTAAGACTGGATTTCATTTTTAATTCTAAGTGGTTCACCTTCACTTTATTAAATAAATAAATCTAATTTCAACATCTCATAACAATTGAGTAAGTATTTAATAGAACTCACACCAAATATAAAGGCACACAACTTAATTTAGTGCTTTCCATTTGAAGGTTCCAAAATGTCAATAACTGGACTTCATAACTTCCCCCGAAGAAGGCAACATTATTTTTAAACATAGAATTTGAGTAAGAACTAACAAATCCACATGGTAAAGCACTGAATAAAGCCAAAATTCCATGTTGTGCTACTACAATGCTGAATGCTTATTCAGTGTTCTGCCATTTTGCTTCTATTTTTTGGTACAGCAGTAATGTTAATAAAAACAGAGACCAACTACAGCCACTAGAAAGTGACAATAGGGTGTCACTAAAATTAAAAGAAAAAAGCTAGCCAAACTCTACCACAAAAAGATGTTCTACAGGGACATCAGCTTCATTAGATTATTTCAGGCCTTCAGAGTCAGCCTAGGAAGATGCTCTCTATATACTGAATTTAATTCTCTTCTGCTTTCGCAGAAAACACAAAAACCTTCTTTACACCCAATACTTTCAACACTTTCAAAGCTATTACTTAATTTTTAGAATCAACCAAAGACTAAAACAAAGCCTGCCCCACCCTGATTTATGGATGACTGCTTCTCCTCCATACTTCCCACATCAACATGTCGTGCTTTCAGGCAGCACCTTCAGGGGAAAATGTCCCAAGTCAAAAAAGCAGGTAGCAAGAGACAGCAGTCATAAAACAGTGGAAGCAATATCTAGTTCTCAAGTAATAGTCTGGGCCTATTACTTGATTCTGGGCCTATTTTTCTTGGATTCTTTTTTTTCTGAAAGTAAGAGCTAGAACTGATTTGCCCCATATCACTGACAGAAAAAGACAGGCTACTTAATCATTCATCCAGAAGTTAAAAAAAAAAAATAAATTAAAAATCACACCTACACTATTATTACATAAAAGCCAAAACCAAGCAATATATCCAGTTCACTTGTTATCTTAAGTTACAAAAATAACAACTGAACTGGAACCACTCACCTTTGACGCACTGTTAAAAGGATCCAGGCAGTGAAAGGCAGGACTCTCCAACGAAGTTATATACACCACCGCCTGAAACAACAAACATATGTTTTAGTTCTAGCCCTAAACTTAGAACACTTCCAAACAGGTAATTTAGCTTTCAGGCTGTCAAAACCTCCTATGAGATGCTGAAGAACAGGCAGAATGGCTTGAACTTGATCCAACAGACCCCATCTTCATATTTAATTTCTCTCAATGAATACAAGGTGACTTTAACCCCAAAACAGTCCAAACCACATACAAGTTAAGCCTTCACAATACCGAGAAAACTCAATCAAGAAATGGAATTAAAAATTCAGCCTAATTTTAGAAAGATTGTATTTTACAAAGCACCATTATTTACTGCTTCCTTCACTGTTGTATTACTCAGTTTAACTTGACTGTACTTTATAAAAAAATGTCTCTACATGTGGAAAAGAGGTTCAGCAACAAAAGCATAGCTAGGAGTTTCATAGGGCAGTGAAGTATTTCCATCTAGAAAGTCCCCACACATATATAGATGTGTAATTCAGCTGGATTACTAACACATGTGGCTTGAAGACTTCTGGAACAAGAGATGGTGACCCAACAAGAGAGTTCTGATAGCACTGGTGAAGCTTGTCAAAGGGTCATAGAACCACATTCAGGGAAATTCTGGCTGGATGTAAAGAAGGTGTAAGGGTGGCCAAGCACAGCCACATACCCCCTGTGAAGTGATTTGCCTTCTTTCTGGGAGAGTCCCAAATTCTACTGAATATGGCCCCAGGTGCAACCTCGGCCTTGACAGAATGTGCATGGCTTGTCCAGTGGTCCCTCCTGGCCTACATTGTTCTGTTAAGTATTTCTAACCACAAAAGTAACTGTTCAGAAGAGAGGTCAGACTATTTAAACACTTGTTTCTGTTTTTTAATGACCCTTCTAACTCACAGGATGTCTGACAACAACACAGGATGTCTGTCAACCCATTAAGATCCAATTCAAAAAGAAGAAAAAAATTCTCAGCAACTTCTTGTGCTGCAGCCTCTACCTCATAAGGATGATGCATTAAAACTCCTACGCAATTCCAGGCCACTCATGCAAAAATGTTTCTGTTCAAAGTCTTTTCTGAACAGATTCCAAGCAGTTGTGACTCTACAAAAGCCTTCTATGAAGAAATTAACTTCAAAGGAGCAAGTCACCCAGTGATCCCATGCCCGATAATGAAGTGAGGGGAGAATAAAAAAGTATTGACAAAGGTATTATAAATACCTTACACAAATGTTTCAAAGTGAGATTTACTCTCCCATTCATTAATAGATGGAGTAACAAACAAATAAAGTCACAGTCTGACAAACATTTAAACCTAAACATATTGTTAGAGGGTAAAGAACAGGAGACTCCCTGACCCTCAGCTCTAGAAGCTCACCCTTAGGTCCCCAGCAACTGCAAGGGGAGACAAACTGTTTCCAAACCTCCTGAAAAACACACAAGATTAAAAAAAAAAAAAAATAAATAATGGAGGATGGCAAATTATGAGAAAATGTTATTCCAACAGAAGAGCCCCCTGATCCAGTTCACCACCTGAATGAAGATTTGCCTGTGACAGTAGAAAGCAGACGGGACTGGAGGGTGATAAATCCCTTCTCCTCTTCCAGGTGGTCGCTGGAATAGCTGCTGCCCCACCTGGGTTTTCAGTATTCTGCGAACTCAGACTACAGGCAACAACATTTTGCGGTATCAATATTTCTAACCAATTACAGACCTTAACTGCATTCCCACTGAAAACTGCTCTATTGAAATTGTAGGACAGATACAAATAAATGGGAGAAATGCTTTAATAAATGAAGCAACATTAAAACCCTGAGGCAGAGCAGATCTATTTTCCTGCTGGCTGAATGTTTTGTAGTATGTGTTTTTCTCCTGTCAATAATACAAGGGCATTTTTAATATTAAGAGCTAAAGAGAAAATAAAAATCTCCTCATTTTTTGGTACAAGATCTTCTGAATAGTACTATCTTTCCTTGTCCTACCTCACAAATCATCTACTGCTCATTACCATCTATCACTGATGTGCTGTACCAAGCCTCTGATTTTGTCAGGGTATTTTTGTTTTCCTTAAAGAAAAACAGAATACCTCCCTCAATTACTGCTTCCACCTTCACAAATGCACACTTCCAAATAGAACATGTGTTTCAAAGTGAGCTAGAAAACAGCACTATTCATCATCAATACCTGAAAAACTAGTCCTTTATTTATTAGTCAAATAGAGAAGAAATACAGTTGGGAAAAGAAAGAGTCCAAATTTCATCTAAACGCCTAAGAAAAGAATGAGTCATGTGTTTATCTTAACATAACAATGCTAACTTCCTTCTGTAGAGCAAGAATGGTTTGATTTTGGCAGCTCAATTAACACACACTGAAAGTAGTTTGGAATGTTAATGGTGATAGTGCAAATAGTCAAAGGAAGAAGATGCACAAAAAGCCATGACTCCTAACAACACTCAGATTGAAATACAATTCTGTTAACAGACACACAAGCACAAGATGCAGACTGGTCTCTGTCCTCCTTGGGTTCAGTCCTGTTGCATTGTAACCCCATTTTCTATTTTTCTCATGATAAAAATCTTCACTCTGCTTTGGAAGAGCCAGAGGAAGTTTTCTGCTACTAGTCACACCAACAGTCACATCCCCAGAGGAGCAGCCAATTTCCATCACACCCCCCCAAAATCCAAAGCTTCACCCAAAACACTGATTTGCCAAGTGACACAAACTCAGGATGGAAACCCAGACCTCAAATATTTCAATTATATTTAAAATGTTCCTTGAAATGTTCCTTTAGAATGTGTTCCTTGAAACAATCCTAAGTTACACAAGTTCAGGACCTTTTTTTTCAAGGGTCAAAAATTTATAACAGCAGTTAGCATTTGGGACTATCTGCCCCCAGGCAGAGTTTGCATCACACATGGAGCTTTCTGGTCCTCCTGCTATGTCCTACTAGCCAGGACTAGAAAGAAATATTTGATAGCACAGACATTCTGGGGAATGAATTGTCAAATTTTGAGAGTACAAAATTATTTTCAATCACCTTCAAAAGCCTTGCAGCACACAGGACTTAGTGTTCACCCAAAAGACAAATTGGAGCAACATTGGTAAACTCAGGAAATCAAATCAACAAATTTTTTTGGAAGCCAGCAAAGCAAATGGAGGCACAGGGATGAGTAGTCCTCTCCCAAGGTATCCCCAGTGCCCATCACTTCTGTACCATTTAGCACGATGTCATTTGCCATACCTCACTCAAGGCATCATACTAGAGTAATGTCAGCCCTGCACATAAAAGGTGCCATGGCTCCCTACCACTCATGAGTCTCTTCATACCCTGCACTCCCCTTGAGGCCCAGAGCAGAAGAAAAGAAGACTGTGACATAAAATAGGAACAGCAGAGTATAGAAATTGGATGAGCATGGGATTACAAACACACAAAGCAAAAAGACAAACGTATCTAGTCTTCAACAATAATTTCAGTCACTCATTTGCTTTCTAAATCAATGTCTTCCAAACACAAGGACTATAAAAGTTCCATAGTAAAAAGCCTCTGTCAATAGCCCGAAATAAGTTTTGAACTTTATGCTTGCAAATGAGCACCAGAAGGTAAATACCAATAACATCTAATATAAGAAGATTATTATAAAGGTTACTACCTCACAGAATAAATTAGTGGTATTATAATGACTACATTACAAGTAACATCCACAGTTATTAACCACCTCTTCTTTCACTAATAGCTCTAATGTGCCCCATTTGCTTTATCTCCATGGCTAAAATCCAGATTCAGCCTTACAGCAATGATTTCTATGACAATTCTCTTAGGCACTCTTCCCAATACCCAACCACCTCCTATTTAAATTCTGACATGAAATAGCTAAAATAATCTCTTTGATACTTAATATGCTAATACACAAGAATGATCTGACCATAAACCTGTACTGCACAGTGTGGGAATTTTAACTCCAATTGACATATTACTGGTGACCTTCTGGAGAACAAATGAAAAGCATCACATTAATACAAATTCTCCTGTGGAGAAGATCAAGTTGGCAATCTGCCAGTTCATTACACCATCTAGCTTCACTCCAACATTAAATATTGCCTTCCTTTGTAATTGACTGAAATACACTGGAGCAATTGCAGGTAACCACTTTGGGCTATTAAAGTATTCCATTAAGACTTCTCCATTAGGCAGATATTTCAAAAGAAGTTATATTAGAAAAGGCTATGTTCAAAATATTTTAAGTATGCAGACAATTGGGCAAGCACAATCCCGTTCCATGCAGCAGCAGACGGATCAGCCTAAGCACTCAAAAGCCCAATGCCTGAATTTGCTTAAGGGGAAAAGAAACCAAACAAGTTTTTTAATGCTCTAGTATATGCTTAATATACTAAACTTCCTAGTCCAACAATACACTTTCAGAGTCAGTATGAAACACAGGGAGAAAAGAAAAAGGAAAAGTGGATTTACACCATATTTAAGGTTTCAAAAAGACAGCAAATTAAAATACTGCATTACAACATGTAGAACATTTTAAAAACAAAAAAAAGAGTTAAAATCCTTTAATACTATATAGTCTATACAACTGAGCTTTTCTTCTCTTAAGATTGTGGTTACCTAACAACGAGGAAGCAAGTGAAATGAGGCATAAGAACAGGTTCACTGCCTCGCGTGCAGAAAAGACTGTGAGATACCTGAAGCACTGGGAAAGACTTGAGCTTGTATGCCAGCTATAAAAATGGGACTAGCCCTTGAAGCAAAGACAAATTTCTGTGTTTAAATGGCCCTTTTTAAGCAGTCCAGATTTGGAGCCATCACCAGAGGTTGCACAGGTTACCCTAATAACTTAATGTCTCTGCTGAACAGCACACAGGCAGGAGGTTGTGCATATTCTCTGTGCTCCTGTCTGGATGCAAGAGCTGTCGCGCACCTCTGGCCATGCTGTCTGTATCGAAGAGGAAGCAGTTAGACATGTGTCATTGGTCCTTCAAACAACTCTTTATTCTTTAAATAAACATATCCTTGG